TCATCAATATTGTATAAATTGTAAAAATGAAGTCATCATAGAGATTGGTCTCGGACAATCTGATGTCAAGCAGTAATTACATCAATAAAAGTTAGACAGTAATTTGTTTCTATGAAAAAGTAGCCCATACATGGCATTTTTGCATTAAAAAATAATTCTTCAATATTATATGAATTGTGAAAATGAATTTATCATTGAGATTGGCCTCGGACAGTCTGATGTCAAGCGGTAGTTGCATCAGTAAAAGTTAGACAGTAATTGGTTTAAATGTGAAAGTAGCCTTTATATGGATAGAAAATCAATAGTATTACAGAAACAGAAATTGTAATGAGAAATTTGTCAAAAAGAATTAAAAATAAAAAAAGCAAAGACTCGATGAGTTCTGATTTTTATAAATATATGATATATAAAATATTTAAGTTATTTTTGCGATAATACTTTATACACTTTATGGAACAAATTATCAGATTACAATAAAATCTATTTCCAGAAATCTGAGTATTTTGTGTAAGATTAGATTGTAAACGATTCATGTAATCTTGAAAGTTCAGAATTGATTAGATAGTGTTATCATAATTTTCACCTAGTGTAAAAAATAAAGAAGATATATATATATATATATATATATATATATATATAGACGTCTCATGTTTGTTGCTCCTCCAAAATGACTTGACCAATTTTTATGAAATTTTACAATCATATTTAGTATGACTGATAATCTGAGTATCGGAAAACATCTATTTTTCAAACACATTAGTGGTTGGAAACCCTTGATATTTTATTTACCAATTTCATTTGTTTTGCATATTTGTAATTTAAAAGCACACAGCCCTAAATTTTTTACCTTTCTACCATAGACCCATATTTCGTAATAGTCATTTTAGTAATAGAATTTATTTCGATTTTTCTGTTCATGAATGTTCTTCACAGAATTTAGATTAGGATTTCCATATGGAAGAGCTTACATTTTACTCTGAAAAACATTTCATTTTTGTCCAGAGTTGCCTACCCCTAAAACTTTTTTTAAATAAAAGACTTACGTACACGTTACATAGAATATATTTATAAACAATCAGACAGAATTTTCAACAAAATGGAAATGTTTGCTATAATGGTTGATGAACGCCACTGATCTTGAACTGCTCGTTGCGCCTCTGTGGCGGAAACAGTGTTGCCAAAGGGGTAGCATAGTGTTACCACATGTTGTTCTATAATAAGGGATGACTCCGAGAGATGGTATAAAAGAAGATACAACAGTTTTTCCGAGGAAAGTAGGTACCATCCTACAAATCTATGGCAAAGTTTAATTTTTCTCTGCAGAGTTCTCAAAATCTCACTTGATTCATTAGGCATGTCATAGCAAAATTTTAAAATAAATGTTTAGATTCTGCTTCGTAATTTTTTAACTTCCCGAAGGAGAAATTTTGAAATTAAAAAAAAAATCGTCGATTTTTTATTTGACGGTAGATACCATAGTCTTATAGATCATACTAAAATATTACGGCCCTACGACAACTCGTTTAATTTTAAAAATTCTGCAAAGTTTGGAAAAATTAGTATAGTTTTTTTGGCATTTGTCAAAATTAGACCTTTCATCGACGTTTGTTCAAAAACGTCTGAACCGATTTCAAAAATTGAAAAGCCATTTAATGTATCTCAATGAGGACAGGCGACGATCTGCCAAGCCGTTTTTTTAGTAACTTGGAAGAAAGTGTTAAACTTTTCGTCCACATTTAAGCTCATCCTACCGAACCGATTTTAAAAAATCAAAAACAGTTCGAAAGATATTAGTTGGGAATGACACTGATTAATTTTAGGTGAAAATCTACCGAGCCGTTGTCTTGTAATTCGTTTTTGAAAAAAAATGTAAGCCGATTTTTATGGAACTTTTTTTGGCGATATATATCATGGTCTTATAGAACTTACTGAAATATTACGGCCTTACGACAAGTAGTTTATTTGTAAAAAATCATCAAAGTTTGAGAAAATGAGTAGTTTTTTCGACGTTTGTTAAAATAAAAATTAATCGATTTACTTGGTATAACAATGAAGTACTTGGTCTTAATGAACATACCAAACCATTAAAGTCCTATGGAAACTGGTTAAATTATAAAAATAGTTGATTTGTGAAAATTTGCATTTAAGAGTCAACGTGTTCGTTCGTTTTCAATTATGTGTAATGAATCTACTCGGAATACTTTTAATTACTCATAAATTAATTTGTTTATTATTGGTTAAGTCGATTATTTATACATATCGGGAA